TACTCAGGAAAGTTTTAAAATGACACTACCAAATGCTTCACTTTTCCATGTGAATGAAAAACAGGCAGAATGGTAATATGTTTTGTCACAAACTTGGTTGACCAGAAAGACAGCTGAAAACGTCAGATTAGTATCATTTTATGAGATCTGAATTCATGGTTGTACATGTCAGCTGAATGCATCTGTATGTTTAAGTTTGCATTTATACCAGCTTTAGCTGACTTTCTTGGCAGTTGGATTTAGCTAGGTTTAGAGCAATTGCATAAAACATACGTACCGGCTCAGATTTGCACCATGTATAAATCAAGCAAAGATGGAGTTGCATTCAAGATGGTAAAACACCAAAAATTAAACTGCATGGATTGATTGCAGCAGGGAGGAATTTGAAGAAAGCCATGCTTAATTCAAATATTGAATTTTCCTCTCTGTTTGGATTAAAGGTTTTCCTTTTTATTCATTTGATTGTTAGGTTTCTTCTTTTGCAATTGTGTTTCCTATTGTCCTGAAAAAGACTTAGATAAAAAAAGGTGAAGAATTTTTACTTACCTTGTTCCATCATCTCCAGAAGACCTTTCTTAATGAGTTCATCCCGACCTTGTCGTGCTGTCATCTTCTTCTCCAGCACTGCACAAAGTAGTAGCATAACAGCACCAGTTAACAAGAGAGTATTCATATAAGGGAGTGAGAAAGATGCAATGTGGAAGAACTGCAAGGATTTTATTTTGGGGAGCATGGACTGGTCAGCCTGTTTGTGCCTTTTCCTTTATTAAAACAGCTGTAAAATCACCCACATGGAGAGCTGAGATTTATGATCTAACCTACTGTCTGATCACACTGAGTGCAGAGGAACTGGGATGTTAGAGCCTTCACGCTGTTTAGTACGGCAGGTTGGAGCTGCCTCAGGAAGCAGTGTCCTTTACTGTGACGGTCCACAGGACATCAGGGCAAGCGAAGGGAATTGCACCATCCTATCTTAGGAACAGGCAAGTGAGTTTGTCTCCTTTCTGATCTCCTGGGACATCCCTGGAGACTAGCGAGAGCACGCAGTGCTGTGTGCTGGGCTCCTTCACTGCAGACAGCTGCTTGAGGGAAAGCATTTTACGTGCTGTAACTCCCTCCTGTCACTTTTCATAATGTTACTGTGACCTATATAATTTTCACCCCAAATAAAAGGGGTGATGATACTTGGGGCCATAAATGTAGCCTATTTTGGAGAAGGAACAGTCCATGAAAAGCAGTCTGTGTCGAGGCTTGCGCTTCATTCTCATATTTTGACCTTTTCTTCTAAGTGTACTATATTGTATTATATACGAAGTCAGCCTATATGGGCTCTTTCTAGCCTTAAACATTATTAATCTGTAACATGTTGAAATCTCTGAATTAGGTTTAGATCAGGTCGCCATTAACATTTCCTGTGTAAGCAGATTTCGCCCAGGCTCAGCTTTGCTCTGTGCAGCATCACTCTCTTGTTCTCATCCTACCTGCAGATGTCTGCTTTAGCTTCTCGTTTTTCTTTTTCCGCCACTTCCATGGTTTGAAGATCCTGCCCAGTGTTGCCAGTTTGCTGTTCCTCCTCACTGGCGGAGTTCGAATCCCTGAGACCAAGTAGTCAGAACGCATTGCAGGGGACTGCTCCATCTCATCTGAGAGGGGAAGAGGGGAAAGCCAGCTGTTAGACAAAAAGCTTCAGCACAGACTTAAAAAGGGGAGGCAAATCGAGGCTCACCAGCTAACAAGCATTCAGTCTAGTCACCGAGATAACCAGTGCAAGACTTGGAAAGAAAGTCTCTGCATTGCTGGAGCCGGTGGCCAGGCTGAGGGACGCCAGCCAGAGAGGCGTTCAACCTCACTGTGCCAGCCCGGTGCTTCCTACCAGCTGCTGTCTTGACTCTGGCCTTGCACAGTGCCTGTCTGGATGCCAAATATTTCAGTATCTCCACTGCTGCCGTCCCTCATGGATTAATCAGGGCTATTAGGCTCACAGAGAGGGGGATGTGCTGAATTTGTACACCCTGTGCTTTATTCCATCGCTTTCCTACCTTTGTCCACGCCTGGTACTCACCCAGGTAGTGGTTGGTGTTACTCTCCCTCCCGAGGGCTGCGTGTAACTGCACTACAGCCTTCTGAAACGCGGAGAGCCGAGAGTTCCCAATAGCTTTAATAGGAGCCGTGGAAATTTAACACATCTGTAAATCAGGCCCATGCGGCCTCCAGCTAATCACATAAATGTAATGTTCATTTAGAAAAATTTAGACCTTTATGAAAGTCTGAGAGGAAGTGTGGGAGCTCAGGTCCCTTCTGAATTCCCAGCTTCCAGTTCTGTTCTCAGGCCACAGGATATTGCTGCCTTTTAAATGAACTCTTTTCACATAAGCTAACACAGACCACACTGACTTGTGTGAGCTAATGCAAATCTTTTATATAAGAATAGTTTGTTTGATATGTGCTACGTAAGTAAAATCCTAGAACTATTGTGCAAATTTATTCCTTGAGGAAGCTAAAGGGAAAATTCTTTCCCTTTTGTCCAGCCAAGCCACAGGATTTCAGAGGTAATGCTTCAGCTGGAAAAGCAATTTAGGTATTTTTAGTGTTTTGTCTTGAAAATATACTGTAAGTTTTGCTTATAGACAAATCTTACATGAAACAATACATATTATTAACAGTTGTGTGCTAGCCAGTACCACAGAAGAAAGTAGCACAGTTCCATAAATGGGGTTATTGATGGCTTTACTGAGCTTTGTATTTGAGCACCAATACAGTGGTTGTTAAAAGAGAAGCTGCCATCAAACATGTTACATGAATAAAAACTGAATGATAATTTGTATTTTTTTTCAACAATCAGTTATGATTTAAATGAGCAATGTGGAGCTATGAACGTATGCATATTTCCAAGTGATTTCTCTCTGGAACAACAACATTTCTCATAAATTGCTTTATGACTGCAAGATAAAAAATATACAGCATCTTCTAGGCTTTGTTTTTAAGTTAACAGGGTGAAAATGCTTAAATCACAGCATGGAGGTGGGGATTTCCAAGTAAACAGGAAACAATTTTTGGAAGATTATTAAACACAGCAGGGGAATGAACACATTCCTCCTCTTCCATTTAATTTTGAAAATACTGGTAATAGAGATGAATCATTCAGTGAAGACAAACTAAAAACTTGGCCACATGAACTATCAGAGCAGAGAAAAGGATGTAACAATTCCCGCCCACCCCATTGTGCGTGTGCAGTGAATTTATCTTTCTATGTACTGAATTTAGAGCATCTTTTGTCTCATTCCACAGAGTTTATCTTGGGGTTTAATTTAGAAGAGATTTAAAATGTACATAAAAATATATTTTTGCCTTTGAAAGAATGGTGTCTACCCAAGGTGGTACTTACGATTTACAGTTTGGAGGTCAGTATTAAGTTGAGAGCAGAAACTAGCAATGAGCCTAGCACAGAAAGACGGCAGTAGCCTACAGACCACAGCTGAAGTGCCAAGATATCATGCTCCTTTCCTAATTGTGTATTCAAAAATGAGAAGTATCGCAGAAATAAGCTTTGAAGAAGTAGAGCTGCTCTTGATTACAGACATGGCAGTGAGAATGGAAAATGGCAGAGTAGATCTGCTATTAATTTGCTATTATGATTACTTTAAAGCTGTAATAGAAGCCTCAGAAAATAGCATTTGGCCATTTCTTGTGACATCCCTTGAGTGGGAATGGAAACGTTCACAAAATTAGCTCATCTCAAAAGAGCTGTAGATCAGGCTGTAAATCAGATCCTTGTCCCTGGAAGCTACAGTGGAGTAGGACAGCCTCAGCTTAGCCATCCCTGGAGACCAGTGGAGACTGCACTGGTGCTCAAACACTTCCTACCACCCCAGGAATTTCTCAAGCATGTAAGTGAAGATTGAATAAGAAGCTGATTTCAAGCAGTACCTTGGCAAGTTACTGATCCTACTGCATTTCATTCAGGATGCAGGTGTCTGCAAAGTGGTTTAGGCAGCATCCACATGTTTTGTATAACACTGGTAGCATGAGATCATTTTACCTTTTTTGCCAGATAGCAGGGGATGTAGACAGAACCAGGAAGTCATTCAAACCCAAACCTGTGTGTCTCTAGCAATGTTTATTATCCCAGATATTCCCCTAAGAGAGAGAATGGGGAGATACTGCAAAGGCACTAAGAAATTCCCTAAGTGCCCTGTAGCGATCAGTGCTTCTGTAGTTTCTACCAGTCCTGTCAACTGGGTTTCTTCCATCCCCTTCTGCCCTCTTGGTTGTGGAAATGTAAGGATTTTATGCCTTAGGCTTTGGTTACAGATGAAATACAGATAGAAATCAAATGTCAAACAAGGTATAGTAGCTAAAACAAATGTTGCAGTGGAGGCTTTTGTGGGCTTTTTAACTTTATTAATGCTTCTCATATGGTACAGACAGTTCTTAAGCAAATGGTTTTATCACCTGGTACATTCTCACCATATGCAGTTCCTACACTGTGCATTTGGAGAGATGGACACAAATAAAAATAGGTAGAGACACAGTAAGACAGATGTCCTGAAGTCATAAATAACAAGGAAATGGTCTCGCTGGCAATAAGAATCACGAGAAAGCCCTTGGAGCTCCTCATTTCCAGTCAGTTCGTTTTTTCTTGGTTGTGGGTTGGCTGCTTGGGAGATAAGAAGTTGACAGCACAAAAAGCAGTTCCTACGTACAGCAATGAATACTGAAGGAGAAGGCGCACCTAAATATCAGCCAGTTCCTGCAGCCAACAAGCTGCCAAGACTTGCCAACCCTCCAACCACTCTGTGAAATATTCAGCACATTTTTTAATCTGCAGTCAATATTTTAATTATGCTAACTGTTCTGTGGAATAATGTGGTTATTTCTCCCAGAGCCTGATAGCCTGGGGCCAGGCCATGCAATTACATAGAGGATGTCTGCAAAATATAAACAGCCAAGAGCCAAATCAAGTCTCTCCATATCAGCAGGGAGAAATGAGCAATGGCTTAACTAGCTGTGTAATGGAGAAGGATGAGGGACAGTCGTTATACAGGGTCAAGCGAGCAGCTTAACCCACAGCACAGCACCCTAACCCCACCCAACACAGAGAGGCCAGGCTCTGCTTGGCCATCACTGCTGAGCCAGACCAATTGGTCCCACGCTGTCCCACAATGAGATAGTCATCAGCCCTGTGGGGCCAGAGCATTTTGCTCTGACTGAAGCTTGTTGGCTGTTTATATAGAAATGACTTTCAAGTCCCTGCTGTACCCTATTGAGGGCAAAGGCTTCTGTGCTGGAGCTCCAGATCCCAAACAAACCCCTCATATATCACAGTTGTAATCTGCTCTGTGTGTGTCAAAGGGGTGGAAATGAACGTGGCTGTGCCCCTGCTGACGAGGGGGCAAGTGCTTCTTACAGTGCTAGCTGGGGTAATTTCTAGAGCTCCTAACAGTGGTCGGGGTGTGAATGGCTTGATGTCTGAGACACCCCAAATCAGATGAGGGGAAAGGTTCTGACCTGATGGGTATTGCTCTGCAGTACTGCTCTGGGCTGCAGAATAAACCAGGCAACAAAGAAGGAAACAAACCATAATATTCATTCCATTTGGCTGCAGGGTCTGACGACTCAGAAAGTCAGCATCTGCAGCTTCTGTTTACATCAGCAGCAGTTGTGGTGATCAGTGTTTCTGAAAAATGCTCCATTACTTTCTTCTTTAAAATATTGTGGTGACATAAATAGAATACTCTTCCTGTTAGTCCCTTCTCTATAAGAATGGCACATGGATCGCGCAGTTTTTCTGCTGTTGTGGTTTAACCTCAGTCAGCAACTGAGCACCACACAGCCGCTCGCTCACTCCTCCCCGCTCCCCCCCCCCAGTGGGATGGGGGAGAGAATTGGAAGAGTAGAAGTGAGAAAAACTCGTGGGTTGAGATGAAAACAGTTTAATAATTGAAATAAAATAATAACAATAATAATATAATAATAATAATACACAAAGCAAGTGATGCACAATGCAATTGCTCACCACCCAGTGACCGATGCCCAGCCAGTCCCTGAGCAGCGGCCCCCCCGGCCAACTTTCCCTCAGTTTATGTACTGAGCATGACACCCCATGGTATGGAATGTCCCTTTGGCCAGTTTGGGTCAGCTGTCCTGGCTGTGCCCCCTCCCAGCTTCTTGTGCACCTCCAGCCTCCTCAGTCGGTAGAGCATGGGAAGCTGAAAAGCCCTTGACTAGTGTAAGCACTGCTCAGCAACAACTCAAACATCAGTGTGTTATCAACATTATTCTCATCCTAAATCCAAAACACAGCACTGCACCAGCTACGAGGAAGGAAATTAACTCTATCCCTGCCAAAACCAGGACATCTGCACATAGAAGCTCTCCCATTTACAGATGTCAAGTCCTGACTCAATCCCATCCAGCCTCCCACAGAAGTGGGGCAGGTTTGCTGGGAGTACTGTGAAGTCCGAGTCCTGGATGTGTGATGGAAGTAGCCTGCATGTAGCCTTCGTTTGTACAGCAGATGGTTTTGGTGCTGAGACGATCATGTCTGGGTGATAACAGTGTTGTGAAATTGAGCATTGGGTTCAGTCAGTTGGGTCTATCTTCTTGGGTTTTTCATGATGAGCCAAAGAGTCTGTAGC